GTTGCGGCCCCCCGTTTGTGGAACAGATTACCTCTTGAAATAAGATCAAGTTTGTCGACTGCTTTGTTCAAACGTGCTCTGAAAACACATCTATTTTTTGTTGCTCAAGGAAATTAATTTATTGTGAATTGATTTTTTGTTTTGTTTTGTTCTTTAATTTGTTTAGTGAGATGCCCACAAAACTGAGAACACCTGTGAGTCATGTACTAGCCGGTCTTTGCACCTTAAATTGCTGGTAAACGGAAGCAGTGATGTGGGTTATGGTCGTTTTTCTGGTAGCCTTTAGTTTAAAAGGATAAGCTTTTTCATGGTTTTCACAAGCGCCTTGAGCACTTTAGTGGAGATGTGCGCTTAATAAATCTTATTATTATTATTATTATTATTAAACTCATCTTAAACATAAAGAAGTTTTTTTTGGGGTGGGGGCACACTTCACCACACACTCCCAAATTTCAATATCCAGCGGTTGAAACGTCTGCTTTCAGCTGACTGAAACCACCCTTTTTGGTTATGGCAGCTGTTGTTCAGCCATCACAATATTTTATTTGCTTAAAAATTTCAGTTAACTTACTGGCAATTTATTTATATTACCACATGATAATCACATGCATACCACGTGATAATCACATGCTCGTCAAATGGTAATCACATGACTATCGAATTTCCAGGCAAGTGCTTCCTGCAAGTCTTCGCGGCAAGGGCATAACAGGTTACAACCAGTTTAGTGATGTACTTGGGGATCACAGGTCCATTGTCATATATCTCCATGGAAACTCAGGGACAAGGTAAACAAACAGTATTTTATAATTTTGAGTTTAGTTGGTGTTTACTGTACTGTATAATTTTACAATATATCAATCTTCACTAATAGAAATTACCTGTTGTAAAACTAAAGATTATTTCAAAATTTATTGACTTTACATTATTCTTTTTGTCAATAGTGTTGTGCATTTTATTTCCGACAGTTTAATTTTATTATTTGTTAAATATTAGTGTAGAACAAAGTAGCACCATTTAACATAATGACTTTAACTGATCTTATGTTATCCATTATAATTGGCATTTTGGTTTTCTTGGTATATATTTCAGAGCTTCATATCACAGGGTTTTGCTGTATAAAATTCTATCTGATCTGAATCATCATGTTATTGCAATAGATTATAGAGGTATGTTATTGTTAATGTTATCATTTTAAACATTGGAACTTGAGAGTCCCTGAAATATTAGTTGATATTTTTATAATTGGCCGAGTTGGGGAGGGGGCACACAGGGGCCACTCATACCACACTGGTGCTCTACGTGGCCCCAGGGTAGTAAAACCCAAAGAAACCTTAGCCAGGGCCTCGTGTCCTGCTTGAAAGTTTTTCAATTTCAAGTCAACATTTATTTATTTATTTATTACAACATTTCAGGATAAAGAAAAATACAACAAAAGCCCTTCAAGAATTACCAAAAGTGTAGAACATTATCAAGGTATCTCCAAGGCAAACATAAGAAAAAACAAGATTAGAGCATCAAAATACAATGAAAAAATAAAAATAAATTGAAAAAATACATATAGGTTTTAGTGTAGTGCAATATATAGGCATACACTATATTCAATAAATAATTTACAATTCATTAAATACATAATTTAAACTACAACAAAAATATTATAAAAGCAATTGAATAAAATAAAAATTTTCTCAAAAGTTCTCAGGAATGTGGGAGACTGTTAGTTTTGGGGAGACTCCTGCTTATTGTTTTGTATTGAGAGAGTTATTAGCATTAAGTATACACACACTGCAGTATGATGAAAGTATTTTATTGTTTAACAGGTTATGGCGATTCAACAGGAACAGCATCAGCAGAGGGGGTAATAGCAGATGCACTAACATCCTGGGACTGGGTCAAGCAAAGGTGTGGAAATTCAAAGGTGTATATTTGGGGTCATTCTCTGGGAACAGCGTGAGTACCTGTCAATTCTGTGGGATTCACATTTACATGATTTCCTTGTAGCTTGAGGCTTCAATAATGGGGTGTATCTTTTAGATTAAAAACAAATTTAATTATTATAAATATTATTGATAATCTTCTTTTTTTTCTCAATTTTGTTTAAAATCATCACAAATTTAGGGCAGAGGGTGGCTTTCTCCCCCTCCCCCAACTTGAATCTGCCACTGACTGTAACAAAAGAAGGTAATTTTTACTGGCTTCTGGTACACACACATTCAATTTTTAATACTGGTTCTGTTGTGGAGGTGTAAATGCTGAGTGAGTCTGGACCATAGATGCTACATAATATTTAAATTTAAAATTAGCTTGCCTTGGGGTACCATGCTTCCCCTTCTTCCTTTCGTATATTCTCAATTTTTTACTCTCTTCTTGTTCCATCCCTCACCCCTGATCTTCCCCTGCATATCAATATTTTCTTTCCAACCCTACATGCTTTTGCAATTTCATTAAATTCCTATTCAATTTGGGCTTCTAATGAAGGTGTGGAAATAAATTGAAAACAAGTTTTGATTAAATACTGTAGGTAATTTAATACTGTTTATTAAACTGGAAATAAATCAAGTAAATTACTTATAGTAAATGTTTTCTTTTAATTTGTTTTTATAATTTTCAGTGTTGCATCAGCATTAGCAAAGCAACTTTGTCTAGAAGGTGAGTATACCTAATAACAGATGTAGTATGTATGGAGTTAACTGTGGCTTAGTGGTGAAAACCCCAGCCTTGCCTTTCCGGTCTCCTGGGTTCAAATCTCATGTTACTATAGTTTGTGCACAATAATATTCCATCACCATCATTATCAAATGTATAATCATCATAACTAGAATCAATCATCATCGTAATCTTCATCCTCTTCGCTATTATATCATCATCATTTTCATCATCATCATCATCATTTTCTTCATCATCGTCATCATTTTTTTCATCTTCTTTAATGTGCATAAGCATCTATTGTTGCATAGTAGCATTGATGAATCAGTACACTGGGAGACAATCCTTTAATTTTCTGAGGTACATTGAACAAATGCATAAAATGCCTTCCAAGAGTCTGTTCGCTATTTACCCAATAATTTATTGGGGGCAGATATGATTATAGGCGAGCCATATGGCTGTGAGTGCAGCTTAGCTCAGTCAGATAAACTGGTGATAGCCACTGTGTGTGCACTTAAACCACGGTGATCCCTGGGTCCCCGGTTCAATTCCCATCGCTGCTGTCCTTGTATTTCAACTTTAGGGGTGAAATGCAAGTTGCGAAAGTGCACCGTCTTTTGGATGAGACGTTTAAGCCATTGGTCCTGTGTGCATTATGGCCTCATGTACACCTGAAAGAAGGCAGTACACTCTTCAGAAAAAGGATAGGAGATTGTCTTCCAGTGTACTGGCCAATCACCACCAGGAATACTCTACTGTAAATAAATCTTCATCAGACTTTTGTTGGTTATCTTTGGTGTTTACACCAAATTAATCCATCCATCTGGGCGTCCTAAATTGTTTGAAAATTAAAAACAAATCGGGGGACAAAAAACCTTTTCACCTCAGTCTGTGTAATAAGTCTCTCTGTGGCAGGGGTCCAAATTTGAAAGAAGTTACTTCCAGGAGCTCTGGTTAAATGAGCTTCCTTAACACATCTAATGTTATATTGATGTACATGGTTATATAAATATTATGAATTTGCGAGAGATAGTTTATTTTCCTCGGAGATTCTTGTTTGCTTTCGGGAGACTTGCGACCCTGGCCGGCCTAGGGCCCCATTATTTCAAATTGCTGGATCTTCCACTGTAAACAGTCCAGTGCACAGTACCTGGCTGAGCTATGCTGCCCAAATTATACATATTTTGAGGTTTTTTACACCTAAATTTTTGAAACCTTTTTTTCATATCTATTTACAGTACTGTTTTTTCGTATGTTTTGTTTCTTGTAAACATACATACATATATATCTGTCTCTTATACACATCTAGATGTGTATAAGAGATATTTGAATTGCTTCAAATGATGTGAATAAAAAAGTTGCTTGATTGATTTTCACTTGAAATTGATGCTTTTCTTTGGCAGGGAGTTGTCCTACTGGTTTGATTCTTGAGTCGCCTTTCAACAGCTTACATGATGCTGCCCTCAACCATCCACTTGCATTGGTGAGTACCATTCTATTGATTACTTGTATGTCAGAGTGGCAGTGGCGTATCCCTCCCCCCCATTCGAAAATTTCGAAGCAAAAAAAATTAGGCTAGGCTTATGCTCAAGAAAATGTGTTAATGCTTTCTCAATTTCCCTTTATTGACGTTCATCAAAACACCATATTATGTATTTATTCGTCCTTCATTTCACAGCAACTAATAATAATAATAATAATCAATATTTATAAAAATGGTCGCTGTCACACATAATAAAAAACACACACATAAATTATTCTAAAACTGTTGGTATGATTCGAAGCCTCGAAAGGTCTAGCATAGTAATTTTCCTGGTGCATGCAGAATTGTTGATGTAAGCCTATTTAAAATAAAACTATTGTTAAAACAATCCGGTAATTTTAATTAAGGCAAGAAATCGTAATCGACAATAAAAGTTTTGTTTTGTTTATTATGGTATTATCTCACTTCTTAAATACTGCGTTCAAGAGATATACTTTAACATATCTGTCACTGTTAACGTGTATTCGGGAATCTAAGAATCAATATTTTTCAGTGGGGGCGTGGCCACCGAAAATAAATTCCACGCCCCCTCATATTTTGGTCGCGCCCCCCAACCAATTTTTATACTGCTAGATAGGCCACTGCAGAGTGGTTAGGATTTGTGGGCAGTGTAAGCACTAGTCAAGCTGCTGTCGCACAGGCCAAGTTCTCTGTCCATCATGACTTGTACCAGAAAATCATTACATGCTAAATACATCTGAATACGTCTTAAAATGGACCAAAATTACCCTGTTTTTCCAGGCGACTTTGGCCCCACCAAGGTCTCACTCCTAGCCCTCGTCAGAGAACTTAGGCCCCTGTTCCCTTAGGCATATATCCTGGTGCCAACAATGTCTTTGTGTAGGTATATGTTTGTGTTTATGTAGGGTTTATGTGTGTGTGAAGGGTAAGGTCTGTGTTTTAGATATCATATGTGTGTGTGTGTGTGTGTGTGTGTGGGTGTGTGTGTGTGTGTGTGTGTGTGTGTGTGTGTAAGGAGGGATGGCATGTGTCTAGGGCTGTGGTTTTTTGCTTGTGCATTCATTTATTTGTACAGGGAGATTCATTTAATTCCATTTCATGTTTGAATGGAATCATGTATCGATGTATCAATGTTTCTTTTCCTTCTTGCAGCCATGGCGCATCTTCCCTTATTTTGATACTTTGTTTACTCAACCTTTTATGCCAATGTCTCAACACTTCCAAAGTAACAGAAAGTAAGTTGCGATTTGGAAAGGATATGTCTTTGACGTCACTTTCTCTATTACCACACACTCACTTTTCTTCTGTTTCATAAATATATCCAATATATATTTTTTACGTATTTTTTTTTACATATTTTACAAATTTACTTAATTTTTTTTTTTTTTTAATATTTTTAAAAATTTTTATTTTATTTTTTTGTTTTAACTTTTTTTAATTAATTTTTTTTAGACACTCCCATTTCCAAATATCTTTCATAAAATGCATAGCAACTTTTTGTATTTTGTGCTTTAACTATTAAAACATTACATATTCTATTTTCCTTAAAGTTTACGATTTTTAGTAAGAATTTACAGTACACCAAAGAGTCTGATGATTGTGTTTGTTTTTATTGTTTTCTTTTTTTCTTTTTTCTTTCTTTTTAGTTTACAACATGTGAAGTGTCCAATCCACATTTTACATGCTGAAGATGATTTAATTGTACCACACAAGCTGGGTAAAGTGGTAAGTATATACTTAATTTCATATATCATTAGATTTACAATGGTTTACCAAGTATCAAATATTTATTTTACCACCACTTCAATTGGGATCAAAGGTGTGCAGTTACCTATTATCTTTTCTTAGGTTGTAAAAAATTTATTTCATTCGCATTCAAGAATGGACGATGCTTTTATAAATCAAGACTCCTTATGAGGCTTAGAAATCATGACCAAAAGTCCTGGTTTCACTGGAATGGAGCTAAGGACCGGGATTGGATAGCAATCATCTTAAACCACAAAGCTATTCAACTTTACTCTTGTAAACTTACTTGTGTGGCCTCTGTCATAAATCTTGGTAACCTTTCCCACAAGAGCAGCTTGGCTCAGTTGGCTAAACTGGTGGTAGTCACTGTGTGTGCGCTGAACCATGGAGATATCTTGGTCCCCATTTAAATTCCCATCACTACTCTCTTTGTATTTCTGCCGGAGTGCTGTAATACAAGATAGCGCACTGTCTTTCGAATCAGATGTTTAAAGCCCATGTGGATGTTAAATAACGCAGTTCACTCTTGCAAAAAGAGTAGCAGATTGTTTTCTGGTGTACTGCCTAATCACCACCAGAAGGACCCCAATTGAAATAAGTAATCCTTTAGACTTTCGTGGATTATCGTTTATCTTTACACCAAATAAATCCATCCGTCCACCTTCCCCAAAGGATTTTTGTATGAGTGAGTAAATATCTACTAAGACTAAGAATTTGAATGTTTTATTCTCTGTAGTTGTATAATGATGTCAAAGCTACTGGATCGTCTGAGCTGGTGAAGTTCCACACATTTGATGGCAAGATGGGTCATGGCCATAAGTATATATGTGAGGCAGAACACTTCAAGGATTTACTTAAGTAAGTAATGTCTTCAAAATGATCATATATTAAATGTGAAGAAATTTTTAATTTTATATATGAAAGTTTGGTAAACAACCTGGGGAGGCCAGATAGCCACATAGTCATCATGACTAGTAGCTAATAATTAGCCACCCCTCATCTGAACTTAATCTAAAGACATTACCTTACCTTTACCAAAGTACTTTGTGTTATATATGTGATCTGTTTATATTTATATTGCATTTAGGTGGATTTTTTTTTCCTGATATAACCATTGTGAATGTCTTTTTAGTGTTGATTCTCAATCCTTTTCCTACCCTTTCATATTGGCAGCATCTACTACTATCCTTTGCAAATTTTCCTCTGACTCGGCTAAAATGTTGCATCATCTGCGTATCTAATATTTATAGGAAGCAGGTCAACTTGGCCGAGTTGACTGGGGCTGAGTTCACTATTGGCCGAGTTGACTCGATTTCTATTAATTCCACCAATGATGATTCCTTTCAACCTTTGAATTTCCTTCAGTTATATCCTCAGAGTACATTGAATATAAATCCGTTGAAAGGACACATATTTGTCGTACTTTATTCTTTATGGGGATCATCTCGGATAAATAGTTGACAATTTTGACCCCCGCTTCTTGTGACCAATACAAATTTCTAATAAAGCGAACATCTTTACCATCAAGTTACAACTGCTTTGCAGCTTCAGTAAAATATTCATGCTGTATGTTGTTAAATGCTTTTACATAATCTATGAAACAGCAGTTAACATCCTTACAGAAAGAAATACATCAGATAAAAAAGAAGAAAAATGCAAACAAGACAGCAAGGGAATTAATTTTTGTTTAAAAGTGAATATAGTTTTCGAGTCTACCATTGATTGTGGTAGACTATTCCAGAGTAAAATAATGGACAGATTAAATGATGATTTAAATACAGTTTTGCATTAATAGTTCATTAAACATATAATCAAGGGGTGGGTAGGAGGGTGGGGAACTCAAGGATTAAGTAAGACAGAGCTGGCTAAAAAATTGATACAAGGTCACTTTTAACTCCTTGAGTGCATTTTTTGTTATTCAGCGAATTTCCAGTGGTAGCAACACATTATTTTTTATTTCCCAACCCTCCTCTGTAGATATGCTACGGCCCACTCGTTCTCTTACTTACTCCACCGTTCTTTACCTTATGCATGCACTCTCTCATTCTCTTATTCTTTTCATTGCCTCCAGCTGTGTGTGTTCTATTTTAATTCTACATCAACTTTATCCTCCTAATCACTTCTCTTTCTATAATTATTTTCACATTTAAGAGTCTATTTTGCAGTGTTTGAGGTAAAGTAGGAAGATTAGTAGTCATTTTTTTTTTTAAAGAAATGGTACATTGCGTAGTTTGCTTTAAATCTCATCTGTTCTTTATATATGTGTAGTGATTAATGTTTCTCATTTTATTCATTTTTTCCAGAACATTCCTCAAGTAAAGGCATTCGATTTCTAACAGCAGTCTTTCAACAGAATGAATTTTGTATTCTTGAATAAGCTTTGTTTTAGGCCAAGCAAGACTTTTGTATACCTTGTTTAGCGGAATTCACAATAATGATGATTTCAAATAAAAATATAATTTTATTTTTGGCTAATTAGCTTTATTACGCCCACCGCTGCCTTGAAATCTCTAAAAATATGTACAGTATATATAAAAGCATTTAAACATCCCATTACCACACTGTTTACCTTTAACAATAACATTTTATTTTTATTTTCTCCTCTGTCTGGATGTTTTTGGCAAAACCATATTATGATAAATAAGTAAACAACATTTTAATACCCTTCTTTGATGATCTTTAAAAAACATAAGTTTGCGAAACAAGGTATAAAAAAAGTCTCGCCTCACTGATTAACATAAATATTTGGTCTTGGCACCTAGAGTTTATGACACTACTGTATAAATATGCAGGCCTCTTCCCTCTGAATAACTTCTTAATGTATGAATATTCCATACATTTTCATGTGACAAATTTGTGTGATGTACCCATATATGGCATGATGATGTCATATTACACCCTAATACGGGCATGTCACAGTTATTTGTCATAAAATCTGATAGTGTGGACAAAGCTAAAGACATTGTACAATATAAATAAAAAATGAAGTGTGTATTTTTATTTAAATTAATTAATTAATGCTGTCTTTTGATATTTGTTATTACACATTCTTATAAGGAGACCCTGGTCCTGATAAAAGATTAACATCATGGGCCCCCTTAAGGTCTGGGCCTGGGATTTATTAATCTCAGCTTAGCAAATGTCTTATGTCAAAAAAGTTTAGAAGTCCCTAAGCAAATATCTGATTTATCAAACCATCTTAGCAAAATCTTAGCTAAAAAATTGTCTTAGATGGTTCATGCGTATAATCGATTTTTTAATTTTAAGCAATTTTTAAGTTAAAGCATTAGTGATAAATTTTACTTAAACAAAAAAATTGACTTAGGCTGATTTCTAGTTTGATAAATCCGGCCCCAGAGCTTGTGTGTGTTAGTGTGTTTATTAATGTAGTAAAACACCATTGAATGGTGTATTTACTTCAATTTTAATAAGAGTAAAATAATGATATTGATGATATTTAATTAATTTTCTTACTAAACTTATTCTTCACCAATGTGTTGGTCTAACTGGATTTGTTAAGGAAACATAATGAAATGAAAGCATGTTATTATAATATTGTAATATAAGTTTAAACATACTAAATGCTTATCTGGGTGTTTACTTGTGTGTACGAGTGTGTGGGTATGTATCTGTGTGCGTGTCAAATAATATGTGCTATAAATTTAACAAAGTTGGATATTATTAATTGCCTTACAAGTAACATTTTACTTTAGTTATCCTTATTTTGTTTTTAGAATTCTGGCTCCCATGCAATATAATTAACTAATTATTGATTATAAGTTCTTATCATACAGGAATTAACAATATAAAAATAAACATTTTTTAATAGATATTTATTCACAAAAAAAAGAGACAAATATTTCTGGGATTGTTTATATTGCCAAGAAAAAAGAATTTTTGGATCACTTACAAAACAATTATGTTTATTAAGGCACCAGAAATTTGGCCAATAAAAATATTAAATGATGTTGCAATACTGTAAAAACCATAATTGATGGTGCTCTTAAAATTCATTTTTCTAGGAATTAGGTATGTCTGCATTTTGAGTAACAACACAGGCTTTAAAATTTAGCCTGGACAAAATTAAAATTAGTATTCATATCAATGTAAAATATAATAATGTAAAGCTTTAACATGAGTATTTAAACAAAATAGAAAATTGAGTGAAACGAAATATGTAAATACAGTATTGTTTAAAAAAACCTGAAAATTGCATATGATTAATGATGCTGCTATAAACAATGCAAAGTAAATTTATAATAATATTATAGTGGTGGATATACAATGCAATATAAAGTGAGATGATTTAACCCAGAACACATGAAATTCCCTTTCAACAAATATTTAAGAGAGAATAATGTATCTTTTAGCAATTTACATTTAACAATTCAATTCAAATCACATTTATTTCTTTCTATAAATTATTCATTATCATATTGTTCAGAAAGAAACAAGAAAGAGACAAATGCACTAGAAGTAACATCAACTGGATGACTCCAATTGTATTAATAATAAAGGGTGGTTCACACCAGCATGATATATTTGCATTACCACTGTGTCAGAATGTGTCTAATTGCAAGTTATTTACTTTGGTGATGTTTGTGCACCAAGCTCAAGCCCTGTCCAGTCAATCAATTTTGCTCTTGAATAAAACATGTGACATGCCTAAATATGGTCATGATGACATCACACCATGACCATATTTAGGCACACAACAGCTTTTTGTCAGAGAATTTGATAGTGTGGACACAGCTCTACACCATCTCATAGTTTCTAGTGCGTATTCCTAAGGTCAAGGTATATACAGTAATACAAATATGACATGGTTTGAGTTTGAGTAGTGAATTTTGCCTCCCTAAACTTTACTCAACACCGAATTAAGAATTCACTGCATTACCGAAGTCATACCATGTACTGCTCCACTATAATATTAAACACACACTATCTGTCTACATTATAGTGATTTTGAGCTGTGAGGCTAGAACTTACAAAAGTTGCATACAAGCTCACTGCATAACAAAAGATCTATTTTATATCTATTACAGAATTAAAATCAGTTGGGTTATTTTTTTGTTTGTATCTATCTCCTCTATCAGATCATAAAAAGGAGGGACATCTGTACACCACTATACTGTATGTAGGTAATGTATTCATTGACAAAGTTTATATTATATAGCTTAAAAAGAGGTTGTCTTGTATACAAAATGTCCTGGGTTCAATTCCTGATAAAATTGGATTTATTTTTAACTCTACAAAAGTATCTCTCTTCATTTTATTTATTTCGCCTTCATGTTCATACTATGTAATTATACAAAAATACAATAAAATTTGCAAAAGGATTGTCTCGTCAAGAGCCGGCGAGATTTCCAAAAAGTAAAATATACAGTACTGCTATCTAGGTGGCTCCCCAAGCGATTGAGAAAACATAGACTAGCATCAGAATTCAACAGAAACACTTGATCATGCCTTTATTTCATCGAAACTTGATTATTGTAATTCACTTTTATTTGGCCTCCCTTCTTATTCAATTAAACGTTTACAATGAATCCAAAATTCTGCTGATTGCCTATGCACGCTCACTCCCAAGAGCCACCACGTCACCCCCATCCTGGAATACCTGTACACTGACTACTTATCGGAAACATATTATTTTTAAAAATCCAATTATGTTTTAAGGCTCTTCGATTCCAACAACCCTCTTTTCTGTCTGACATTTTAAGTACCTATGTCCCCAACGCCGTCTCCGCTCAACAACTAAAAGTCTTCTCACTGTTCCCACCTTCAAATGAAAATCATATGGCCAACGAACCTTTGCTTTTTTTGCCTCATTGCTGTGGAACGACTTACCGTTGTTGTCAAACATTCGCCCTCCTTGGATTCATTTAAACTACACTAAATTAAAAAACTCGTCTATTTAAATCCATCTAGTCTACTCGATTCCACGTTCATATCTACATTGTCGTTTTACATTTCTATTTTTTACTCCATGCTCTACTATGTATACTTTTGCGCCTTTGATTTTGAAATTGGCGCATAACAAATGTTTGTTTATCATTATTATTATATAAATTTTAAAAATATCAATCTACTAAAAAAAATTCAGTAAGCAACATTTATCAGTATCATCTTCTAATAAATTAAGTCCCTTGGTACAACAAAAGTTGTATGTTGTTTCATTGCTATTAATTTATGACCAAATATTCTATAGTGTCATGGTGTGAGTATGTATTGGTTAGGCTACCTTCAACCCTCAGATGTGAGCACTGTGGTCTCCTCAGAGAATAAATACGCAAGTAGAGAAACAAAAGGAAGATTGTGATTGTAGGCAGCTTAGCTCAGTCGGCTAATCTGGTTTTAGCCACTGTATGTGTGCACCGAACCGCTGCCTCTCCTTATGTTTCAGCTGGAAGGCTGAAAAATACAAGTTGCGATAGCGCACCGTCTTTTGAATGAGACGTTTCAGCCCTTGGTCCCGTGTGCAATACGGCATCTTCGGAAAAGAGTAGGAGATTGTTTCCTGGTGTACTGCTTAATTCACTACCAGAAGGATCCTGAAACGAGTCTTCAGATTTTCTTGGTTATTCTTGGTGTGATTCACACCAAATATACTTATCTATCTTATCTGTCTTTAATCTATCTTATATATCTATCTTATCTATCCATCTTATCTATCTTATCTATATATCTTATCTACATTTAATCAAATTTAACTCTAAAATCAAAACAGGAAAATAACTCTAAAAAGTATACAAATATATAACATCACATAATTTCACACCGAGTATACTTATCTTGTAAGAATTTATTAATCTCAATTCATGTCATACACTTGTCACTTTTTATTGTAACAAGAATAATATGCAGATTCTATATTTTCTTTTAGGGTCCAGGATACATGTCAACGGAGTCAAGTGTACGGTTCAAAGGCACACCAAGTCAAAGATGTAAGTGCATTTGTGGTAGGAAAGTTCAAAGTTTATGTTTCAATCAAGAGCACTGATCTTCTGGACTTCTCAAATTGCTGAATATTTGAAATTGAATAGGTTTAAAAGAAACCAGAATTTTTGGATATTTATTAAATTATTTGTTTGTTAATATTAACAGTTTGTAAACAGAAAACGTTTTCTTGGAATGGAGCTTTAAATTGGTGGTTAAGGAACTTCAGTAAAAGCTCACTAATTACGCTATCAGAGATTCCAAGTTTAGACAAATTTGCACGCTTGAGACTTTTGAAAATTCCTCCCTCTAGGGGTATGGGAGATTGATCCCCCAATCCAGGAAATTTTATTTCCAAAATGCTCATTCACGATTTGCATTTTTCCCTTTTATATGAGAATACATTCATTTCAGGTTGTCTCTACGTAAATGTTTTGACACTGGCATGAGCTGGCAGTATGTACGCACCCTTTGATCTTATCCGACAGCGCTTTGCTTTTGGAGTCCTTAACATACTTTACCCACCAGAACCATTTGGCACTCAGAAACTGTCCAATGGAAGTGTGGGGAAAAAGAAAATAACATTTAAATGTGGAATGCTGTTTCTGGCCATCTAGAAGTGGCATACTACTGTAGTTATAAAGTTTAGTGTACTTCCTGTCTCTTATACACATCTAGATGTGTATAAGAGACAGGCTCTACACCATCTCATAGTTTCTAGTGCATATTCCTAAGGTCAAGGTATATACAGTAATACAAATATGACATGGTTTGAGTTTGAGTAGTGAATTTTGCCTCCCTAAACTTTACTCAACACCGAATTAAGAATTCACTGCATTACCGAAATCATACCATGTACTGCTCAACTATAATATTAAACACACACTATCTGTCTACATTAGTCATTTCGAGCTGTGAGGCTGGAATTTACAAAAGTTGCATACAAGCTCACTGCATAACAAGATATATTTTATGATCTATTACAGAATTAAAATCATTTGTTTTGTTTTTTTTTTGTTTACATCTCCTCCATCAGATCATAAAGTGGAGGGACTACAAAATGTCCTGGGTTCAAGTCTTGATAAAATTGGAACTCTACAAAAGTATCTCTTCATTTTTGCATTTTATTTATTTCGCCTTCATGTTCATACTATATAATTATACAAAAATACAATAAAATTTGCAAAAGGATTGTTTCGTGTTTCCCCCAAGAGCCGGTAGGATTTCCAAAAAGTAAAATGTATTACTATCTAGGTGGCTCCCCAAGCGATCAAGAAAACATAGACTAGCATCAGAATTCAACAGAAGCCCTTGATCATATGCCTTTATTTTCTCGAAACTTGATTATTGTAATTCACTTTTATTTAGCTTCCCTCTTATTCAATTAAACGTTTACAACGAATACAAAATTCTGCTGTTTGCGTATGCACCCTCACTCCCAGGAGCCACCGTGTCACCCCCATTCTGGAAAACCTGTACTGGCTATCTATTCGGTAACATTATTTTTTAAAATCCTTTTATGTTTTAAGGCTCTTTGATTCCAACAACCCTCTTTTCTGTCTGACATTCTAAGTACCTATGTCCCGTCTCCGCTCAGCAACTAAAAGTCTTCCCACCTTCAAATTAAAATCATATGGCCAACAAACCTTTGCTTTTTTTGCCTCATTGCTGTGGAACGACTTACCGTTGTTTTTCAAACACTCACCCTCCTTGGATTCATTTAAACTACACTAAATTTAAAAACTCGTCTATTTTAATCCATCCAGTCTACTCGGTTTCCAAGTTCATATCTACATTGTCGTTTTACATTTATTTCTATTTTGTACTCCATGCTCTATGTATACTTTTGTGCCTTTGATCATTTATTTTGAAATTGGCGCATAACAAATGTTTGTTTTTTATTATTATTATTATTATATAAATTTAAAAAATATATATCTACTAAAAATAATGCAATACTGTATACACATTTCCATCACAAAATTCAATTAACATCATAAGAATTCAATAATCAACATTTATCAGTAGCTTCATATAGATTTTCAAAATAATTAAATAATTTAAATCCCAACAAAAGTTGTATGTTGTTTCATTGCTATTAATTTATGACCGAATAGTCTATAGTGTCATAGTATGTATTGTTTAGGCTACCTTCAACCCTTAGATGTGAGCATTGTGGTCTCCTCAGAGCATAAATATGCAAGTAGAGAAACAAAAGGAAGATTGCGATTGTAGGCAGCTAGCTCAGTCGGCTAATCTGGTGTGTGCACCGAACCGCTGCCTCTCCTTGTGTTTCAGCTGGAAGCCTGAAGAATACAAGTTACGAAAGCCCTTCTTTTGAATGAGACGTTTCAGCCCTTGGTCCCATGTGCAATATACTGTAGCCTCTTCGGAAAAGAGTAGGGATTGTCTCCAGGTGTACTGCTCAATTCACCAGGAGGATTCCGAAACAAGTCTTCATACTTTGTTGGTTATCCTTGGTGTGATTCACACCGAATATACTTATCTATCTTATCTTCATATCTTATCTACATTTTATCAACTCTAACTCTAAAAACAAAACAGGAAAAAAACTCTAAAAAGTATACTAATATATAACATCACATAATTTCACACCGAATATACTTATCTCTCTCTTATCTATCTTATCTACATATCTTATCTACATTTTATTCAACTCTAAAAAGTATACAAATATATAACATCACATAATTTAACTACTGTATTAACATCATGTTTTTTTACTATAACATTAATGTTTGTATTAGAAAGCAGTTTAAGCATAATAATTAATATAGATCATGTTAACAACCAGAGTGTCTGAGGACTGCGGCTAAAGCTTCTTTGGGTTATACTACCTAGTATATGGCAAAGCACAGCTGACCGCTTTTGATGTTTTAAGGTTGTATTTCGACAGTTGTTTGCTCCTTAAACGGAACAGTGGCGGTGCTAGGATTTCCCCGTTGGGGAGTGGGGGGATGTGAGTGAGGTCCCCGACGAGAAAAAAAGTGGGCTTGGTTGGGGGTCGCTAAAAACCTTTCAAAAGTGGTACAGGGGACGTAGACCCCCGAAAATATATCAATTTAGGGGTTTCAAAGGCTTATTTAATCGATTTTTAGAGTCTATTAATATGTACAAAATACATAATCTTTTGGAATTTTGTTTTCTCCCCGACGAAGGTGGGGGAGGCCTGTATCCCCCGCCCTAGCTCTCCCGTAGTGCCGCCACTGGGAATAAACATCAAAAATCAATATTGTATTAAAGTACAGTATATGCTTAAACTACTTGCATATCATGGACAACCAGATACGTATATAAACATAACAAACACAAAGTATAGCACTTTGCTTAAAATGAAATTTCTTTCTAATGCATCGCAATCTCGCTTACTACTGTATGCATAAGAGTCATGCCACATGGTATGAAGATGGTATATATATTTACTATAAATTTGGCATGTTCATATACAAATAACACATAAAAAAAAAAACAACCTGTAAAAAAAACAATGAAAAACAAGAATTAAAAGATTTTTTACATTTTATAAATTTTAGATGTTCAAAAATTCATCTATAAAAAAAAAATAAAATTGGATGGTAAGCCAAATAGTACCATGCCATCAAAAGAATGTTTTCGTGTTTCGTTCAATCTATGACAATAATATATTGACCTTTTTATTGGATGCATAACATAATAAATAGATGGTTGGGGGGGGGGGGGGCTGAGTGAGAAATTTAATGGCTATGGAACCTAGATTGCCGGAAACAGAACTGATGAATACAATTTTTTTTTTCATTATTTTTATACTTTGACAATTTTAGAGAAGGAAGGGGGCCTGGGCCAACCCCCCCCACCCCCGAATCCACCTACTGTATGTCCACTAGGTTTTTTCACACTGAGCTGGCAGTATGTATCAACGCACCCTTTGATCTTATCCGACAGCGCTTTGCTTTTGGAGTCCTTAACATACTTTACCCACCAGAACCATTTGGCACTCAGAAACTGTCCAATGGAAGTGTGGGGAAAAAGAAAATAACATTTAAATGTGGAATGCTGTTTCTGGCCATCTAGAAGTGGCATACTACTGTAGTTATAAAGTTTAGTGTACTTCAGCTCCAACCACCCATCTGTAAAACTGACTTCTGGGCCCAACTGTATTCTGATTTTCTGAATTCGCCACTGGTATTGTACAGCGAGGCAATCTCTTTAATAGTACTACAGTACGCTGCACTTTTTTCCCCTACTTTTTCTGCTTTTTGTGGTCCGGATACTGAATATTGCTGGCTAAAAACGGAGAATTCAAGGCCAAATAATACCATTTTATGAGTTTTTAAAATGTTCATCAAAATCATTTCCCCGTATTATAAAATTGCATTCCTTCATGCTAACATTTATAATAGTTTCATTGCAGTAGAAAAGTCGAATGATCTGCACATAAGATGAAAATATTTTTAAAATATACAATTTTTATGTCGTGCGTATAAGACGACCCCCCCCCCCAACTTTTTTTTTTTTATCCTACTTTGATATTTTAAGCCTTGTCTTATAATACATGAGTATTTACTTTATTTCCTTCAAAATTTTTTTAGGAAATAATGGCTCCTTCGGCTTCTATTTTCTACAATGTACTCAAAACGTGAATATAATTGCTTACTAAAATAACATAATAAAGACTGAACAAAAATTGTTGATGCCGCTATGAAATACGTATATACTGTAATAACTGAATGTTTAACTGTATAATAAAAGTTTGGTAGCATTACGAGTATTTATTACATTAAATTATGGTAGTGTGGCTAGGCCTTTAAACAACCTTCATTTTCCTGATTGATTTAAATTTCAAATTGGGTTATAATCAATGTGGTTGTTACTGTATTATTAACTATAATAATTTAGTTTGATTTTAATAACAGCAAAACATTCCTGTGGTCCAATTTTAATGTTATAATGCTCTTTTTAATGTTCTTGTAATTGTCTTAGTTTTATATTTTGTCTCTTAATAGTAGTAGAATAAGTAGTGTTTTTATGTAAATTTTGTATACCTTTAAACTTGTAAAAGTTAATTTTTAACTAAACATTTTTTTTAACTTTTAATTTTTATAAAAAATTTTAAGGTATATTGTAAATAACAGGAAATTCATGCTTATCTTACTGCCATTTGCGATTCAAATAAAATGAAAATGAAATAAAAATATCAACTTAATTAATATTTATTATTTTTCATATAAAAATTTCCTATAGAATAATAATAAAAAAGTTAGCAATCAATCAGTTAAATAAAAAAAAACATCACTAAGAGTACATATTACCTCAAAGATAATACTAAAAATAATAACACTGCAACAGTCAATTAATGAAACAATTAATCAAATGAATGATAGAGGTACCCCAACAAACAGTGACAACTTGTTACAATTCAAATATTTAAAATGTTTCTATACAAGTACACATATCCAAATTATTTAGCATTCACGCCCTATGGATTTTTTTGTGATGCCAGTAAGATTACGAATTTAGACATATTAAATTGCAGTTCATACTCCTGACTAAAATTTTTTAAAGTGATTCTCGCGTGTAAACATACTTCCACTTTGATTATAATCTAAAGTACTAAAATATGTTTTAGATCTGTCAATAATAAGACATAACAATGTACAATCCCCTATGTCTGTAGGAATCTCATAAACACCATTTTGTTTGTCGGTAACATTGATCGTTTCAATTTTATTCCTGTCATTATTTACTATAATATTTCTATTATGTTGAGCACGTTCCACTCTGTTTATTGCTAAACACTTTACTTTTGCATCTATGATATACACACATTGACCCAATGCATTTCTAGTTTTTATATGAGCAAATCTCTTAGAATTAGAAAACATGAATTGTATATCTACTAAAATTTTCGATTCCTTAGGTGAAATTTGAGTATCTGGTCTACGTAGCTGCTTCACAACACTGATTTCCAGTAACTGGGAAAATCTACTATCTGGTTTATACTCCAAGACACCTACATCTTTAGGTTCAGTTCTGTCGTCACTCTTCACCAGTTTTTGCAGTCTTCCTGCAGCTTCAGAACTTGACATCAGTGCCATTACTTGATTGGGACAATTTAACAAGTTGTGCATGACTCCACACATACTGGATAATTTACAGATGGCCAATAACATGTCACTGATTTCAGTGTCAAGTGACTTTAGCTTTTGTTTATGAGATTCTTCAATTTTGTGCAGTTGGTCTTCCTTATGGCGATCAATCAGTCGGTGTAGCTCATCCGCTTGTCTTGTGATATCTGTTTTACATTTTGAGAAATTTGAATTCAAAACAGACTTTATGTTTTTAAGGTCATCATTCAAAGCATGAAGTTTCTGTAATTTTTCACCCGATGTTTTAACAAGTTGGGAAGCACGAGCTGAAAAGGTTTGGAACGCATCTTTGGTATCAATGATGTTATGACCCTTGCTGGTAGGATGATCAACCAGTATACATTCACCACAAACAAGTTTCTTACACGTGCCACAGAAGAGCTTTAATTCCATTGTATGTTTAAGGCAAAATATGCGCTTTGATGAAAATTTTTCAGCTGGATCAATGGATTTGTACTCTTCCAACGTCATCATTGTATGGTTTCTAGTGATTTTTATTTTTCTGTGAGCATCCTTGCACTCTCTGCAGTACAATTCATCACAGTCTCGACAAAAGTAACATGCTTCGTTCTCACAAGCACAGGTGGGTGCCGATTTCTGTTCCAATGTATTCACGTATTCTAACAATCCAATAATAAATGTGTTGTTTGGCAGTTTTTTCAGACCACCTGGAATTTTGCAGACTTCACGACAGGTCGGACAGCTAAGTATTCCATTGCATTCTTTAGTCGATTTCTCAAGACACAGAAGACAAAATGAATGGATGCATGGGAGTGACTTCGGGTCTGTATAACGTTCCATACATAAAGGGCATTCGAGTGCCACAGCCTCAATACCAGCAATGATCTCTTTAGAATTGCATTTAGATGCCATGTTAGAAAAATGCCACGTAATATCTGAATGAACCTAAAAAAAGTAGCAAACGATGCATGAAAGGGTAAAATAGACAAAATAATAATGAATAATAAAAATACCCCTGGTGGGAATGGAACCTGTGATCTATATTTGAGCATGTGTCTAGCATTATCTTATTAATTATGTCTACCAAAGTTTTATGTAGCAACACTAATTCTGTGTATAAGTTCATTATTATATTACTTAGTACTCTTTAACTTTGTGAGGCATTATACCAATGACCTATGAGGTCAAGTATGAGCAAGAGATCGCTGGTTCAATTCCCGCCAGGAGCCCTTTTTGTGAAACAATTGATAAGAAACTTTTTTGTTGATATGCTACAGGTATGCCTGATACGATATTTACATCATTGTTCCTTTATTCGAGCACGGTTTCAACCATTATTAGATATGTATGTATGTATTGTAGTCTCTGGCACCGTACAGTGCCCATTGCACATATTATATGTAGGGCAGTATAGGCTGGGGGTGTGAGGGATGCAGAATATTCACACCCCCATTATGGCAAATTATTGGATTAAAATACTAAATATGACCATAACTTTTTATTGGAATAGAGATTAGTTTCATATTCTCAATATTGTACTCCCTAGACCACAGGTGGGCAAAGTGCGGCCCCGGTCAACGATTTTTTTGTGGCCCTCGACAATGAATTGAAAACCCTATATTTGCGGCCCGACAATCAAAATGGGCAAAAATCACCATGTCTTTTACGGTCCGACACCAATCATATGTAAAAATTAACATTTAAACTGAAAACAAAATGATGTAAAAGCAGTGCTTGGAGGTTTTTGGAAGCTCACTGCATGGAAACATCAAAGTTCGGGTGTGGCCCTCAGTGTTAAATTCACTTTGGGCCTCCAACCGATTTTTATGCCCACCCATGCCATAGACCAAAACCAGCCCACGCCCCTGCATTTAATAGTAATATTGAAAAGATAAAGAGATCCGAGACATGGATATTTTTAATTTCACTCTTTAGTCTGTTTCATGCTTGTGCAATCATTTGGAGTGAAAGGATACAAGAATTGTAGGAGCATGTGTAGGGGCTGGTAAGTGTACATGCAAGTTACAAATGGTTGATGGATTAAATTGTTTTGAATGAAAACAATATCGTTGTGATTTGTTTATCTGGATTTCAATGATGTGTCTATAAATCTGATGTGTTTTGTGTCATTGTTTGTGAAAACAGTAGCTTTTAATATAGTCATGGAGGTGAGGCATTTTTTCAAAAGTGGCACTCATCATTTTTTTTTTCTGCATTTAAACGTCTTTTTTTTTGGCTGCTGTTACTTAGTGACAAGATAGTTTTTGTGGGTTTTGATGATGTTGTCCATGTTTCTTGAACAGCTGCAATTTCTATTGTGCTTTGTGAAAGGGGTTGCCATTGGGTGTGTTTCTAAACTAGATTAAAAAAATGATATTGATGTTGGTTTTTTTACATCTTTGCTGAATAGCAGGTTATTGGTTTGCTTGTCTGTGTCTTCATTCTGTTGAGAGTTTCAGATGAAACTGCTTGTATTCCATTTTGTGTTGGTATATAACCCCTATTAATTAGGACTTGGTCGTAGTCAGGAGGGCAATTTTGGAATAAAGCACAATTGGGAACCCAGGGCTAAACAAATGAGAAACAACACTTACTTTTATCAACTGTATTCCTAGATACAAACACTCCCACTTCAATAGTCCTGACCATCAAAGTTGAATCAAGCAGATGCAGTTTGAGCAAACAATTCTTGTACACAATTAGGAGGATTCCTACAGAGTGTGCTGATAGTGAAAATACAAAAAAAAAAAAAATTTCATTCAGTTCAATTAAGAGTACTTACAACCTGTTTGAGTTTTATTACAAAACAATACGAATGGACCTAGGCCGGCCTAGACCTAGTTTGCATTTGATTCATCATTAAATTTGAGCATGTAGGATATATATATATATAAAGATAATGTGAATGGGAAGACTGAGTATTATGAGAGATAAGCAATACATAAATTATGCAATATGGCGTTTGTTTATGTCAAATATATTTAAGAATTTTAGGTTAAAAAATATAAGTTTAGTGTGTGATTTATACGAAGCCCCTGAATAAATCCGAATAGCTCGTTTTTGTATCTTAAAGAGAACGTCAATATGGGTAGATTCAAAATTGTCCAGGGGCATGTTCCGAACATGTCTAGCGTATTCTACACCACTATATATATGATTGAAAAAAAATTAAAAATGTTTTCGACCTCTGAAATCAAGATGGAAAAAAAGAGCCTCTTTTGTAGTAGTTAGCACTGTACGAAAGTACTACTACGGTCCAGTACCTTATAGAAGACTAGTACTGTTTTAGTTACCGTATGACTTACATATTTCTATTATTATAAACTATTAAGCTAGGTTTTAGTGAGTGATCTCCTTGTACCGCCATGTTTCTAATGAGTGGGGTTCTGTTCTGGTGGGTTTTTTTGTGGGGCCATCGGCCGCCCTGTTTCACTTTGTATATCACCTGAAAAAATGTTTGGGAAATTCCCGTTCAGCTAAAGCCTAACCAGGGAGTTGTTATAGTATGAAACGTCATTGCTCCATGCGTCATTCCCTATAATTCATTAAAAGATCCAAGAAAGTAATAGGTTTACAGTTTTCAAGAAAATGTACTTTCTTCCAATGAAATTAGGCCTAGGCCTGAACAAAATAATATTAGACGCCACTTACCTTCCGCTACGCCTTGCTACCTGTGGAGTCAAAACCATCACCGAACCTCCAGATGGCGCTCTCCTTATTATTGCAAAAAGACCGAGGATGTGATTTGTTGTGTGAAAAAATAGACCTACATGATATTAGCATATTAGGAACTTGATTAGGAATTGATAAAAAAATTAAAATACAAGAAATTATAACTTTTGGTGACGCTGTACATTAGTGGTGGATAAAGAGGAACATAAGGTGCGTATACCTGTATTCTGCATTCTGCTCTATTTACAATAGATTTTAATGGTCAACTTATCAAATTTTACGACCAATTTTTACATACATTTGTGAGTGACGGTGTGTAATAGACATGCAAAACAAACATTAGCGGCTGTCTCTTATACACATCTAGATGTGTATAAGAGACAGATATTAAACAATCAAAATCATTGATTACAATTAGGTCTAATCAACTTACAACAAATAATGAAAAGTTAAAATAGGCCTACGAAATTCTGAATAATACATGAGTATCGTGTGAATGGAGGTCATAATAAGTTTCGAAAAAAAAAACAAAAAAAAACAAACTTTAAGGCATATGATCACCGAGAATAGTGTCCGTCACAAAGTAGGCCTATAAAGAAAACAAAATCAAAAGCAGTAGAGAAAGACACAGCATATTGCTACATATTTTTCTTTCTGTAAAATTACTTTTAATTTCTTAATTACTTTTAAATTCATTGTCTAAGTGATCAGATGCAGTTTATGTACTATATACGTGAAGCAGAAATTGCTTGTAGTTATATTTGAAACTAGCAATATATATATTTTTTTGTTTCAAGTCTATCGATATACTTTTCCATAACTTACGACCGAATATAGAACAGAACGCGACGTGATATGAATTTCGACGAGCGCATTTTCGTTTGGAAGTTGGTGGCTGAAAAGCGTGTAAGGTAAAAATGAATATCAGATGGTTTGGCAAATAAAGATAATGTGAATGGGAAGACTGAGTATTATGAGAGAAAAGCAATACATAAATTACGCAATATGGCGTTTGTTTATTTCAAATATATTTAAGACTTTTAGGTTAAAAAATATAAGTTTAGTGTGTGATTTATACGAAGCCCCTAAACAAATCCGAATAGCTCGTTTTTGTAATTTAAAAAGAACGTCAATATGGGTAGATTCAAAACTTGTCCAGGGGCATATAGGTTTAGAACTTGTCTAGCGTGCCAGACCAGATAATGTTGCAGTAAGAAATGTAAGGGATTACAAGGATATTGTATAAAGCAAGTATAACACTTTTTGGAAGTTACAGTTTTAGTTTATTAATGACGCCAAAAAGTTGCTAGAGATTGTGTTACATTATTTATATGGGATTCCATGACAAGATCAATAAACCCCAAGAAATTTAGTTTTACTAATTTGTTGGATTTCTTTGTTGTCAATATAGATTTTGTGATTACGAATTCTAGTTCTCCTGATTCTCAATTGGAAGACATATATAAATTTATACAACGCCATCAGTCGTGACAGTTAAAGAGAAGCAAAAAACAAATAGGGCCTAAATAAACTGAATAAACTTCGCAAAACAGAACTAAGTCAGCAGTAAAAAAGATAGAGAGCCCATAGCCAGACTTGATCAGTGGGGAGAAAGGTCATTAAAATGCAAAGTACTTCGCCTCTCTATTTTTCACTTTAGCGGTACTGTTCTTATTTGGTCCTACTTGCAGAGGAGAAAATGTAGGGTTAAAATTGGTAACGAAACCTCTTGATGATAGAATTCTTAGCTATGGCCTGCCCCATGGGTTCGTGTGTTGGCCTTCAATTATTCTCTTTTTATGTCCGCCCGTTTTATGATGTCATTAGTCGCCAGGTTGGTATTTCAAATGTAGGCTATGCTGATGATCTTCAACTGCATGGCCGGCGGGACCGGGGGGCCGGGGAGCCCCCCCCCCCACTTTTTGGCAAAAAATATATAATGCCTGGAGATTTTTGTATGATCGGAAATGCAAGAAAAGAAGGAGGAAAGAAGGAGGAGAAGGATGGGAAAGAGAATGTTTATCCAGTACCCGACCGAGTTACCTTTTCTCGCAATTCACATTGGCGGATCTGAGGGGAGGGAGGGAGGTCATGGGTCCTGAAAAAGAAAAGAATTCTACACCTACCTTTTCAGGACCCGTGAGCTTTTTTTGTTACAATAAGAAAATTAGAATTTTGAAGAACATAAAAGTCATTAAAAAACACTTCATCTAGGAATTCCCCCGGACCACCATTTCTTTTTGGGATTTATCGATTCATGGAAAAAAGAATACGCATGCAACTACTCATTTATTTATGTATGTATACACACATAAAATAAAAAAATGAGAACAATTTACCTGACCGTTTTCAAGAGGGAAAAGCCTTGAATTTTGTAGAACTTTAAATGTCATTGAAAGACATTTCAGAAGTCAGGAAAGCTCATTTCCCGCCATCGAGAAATCGAAATTTTTCCGGGGGAACCCGGACCCCATTTATCTTTGGAGTTCATTGTTTAATTGAATCATTTTCAAGAGGGGGGAGAACCAAGAATTTAAAAGTCATTAAAAGACACCTCAGAAGTCGAGAAAGCTCGACTAATTCTTCTAATTTTCCCGGGGGAGGAATGTTGACCACACCACCTAGATTTGATTCCAGATCTGCATGATTCATATTCCCATTCATCTTATAAGTGGGCCCCCTCACTTTGAAAAACGTTCCGCCGGACCTGAACTGTACGTTAGTTTTGATCCCACCAATTGAAACGGATGTTACTCTGTAACCCCCCTCTTCTCTCTGAAACTGTGTTCAGGATGTTCACTATTGCATGTCTAATACAGCGTTCTGCAAACTTTTTACTTAAGGCCTATTTACGATTCCAGGACCAAGCGCCGGCCGGCCCAGCAGCCCAGCCGCGCCAGGGACCAACATACCAAATCCTGGCAAAAACTTTTGATCATGATGCCTTCGTGTATAGGCCTATACAATATTTTGACATTATCTGTTCTCTCAGTGATAACATTTCATTGTATACAATTTTTTTAAAAAAAAAATTCCCTACTCTTTTTTTTCCCCCCCCCCCCCCACAATTGTTGATTGTTTTTTGTTTTGTTTTTTTTTCTACCTTGATTCAACTAAACCGTTTGGGAAGGTTCATAGCCATACCGTCATAGCTTTCTCCTTCCAAAAACTTTTACGCACACTACCATATAGGTTAATACCTCCTTGCTGTTACTCCGCAACTTTGAAAGACTACCTTAATATACAGGTATTATATTTAGTAATAAAGTATCCACATTGTCATTCGGTTATCAAGAAATGTGTGGTGTTGTTTACTGTAGTGATATTTCTAGGACAGGTCTTATATATATTTTTATCTTTAGCTCATGACTCACCATCCCATCATTCCTCTACACCGGATTTACTCGATCTTACAGGGTTAAATACTAGACGATAGCATGTGTCTAGCTCCCGAGGGGGCACAGACACAAAAACCGATAACTCAAATAGCACGTACGCATCATCTGGCAGTGGCACTTTAGCAGCGTGTGCAAGCGACGCATTCGCTGTAACAATGAATTCGCTGTAACAATGAAGCGGCTTTATTAAAAACTATTTACTCCATGATGAAACATATGGAACCACGGAACAAACTACCTTATAATGTTCGTCATTCTCCAACCTTGAAAAAGTTCAAAACTGCTCTCAAAACGCACCTTTTTCAATAGCGCCGTGAGACCATTATGCGTAAGAGCGCTTTATAAATATTCAAATTATTATTATTATTATTATTATTATTATTATTATTATTATTATTATTATTATTATTATTATTATTATTATTATTATTATATTATTTTTACCAGAAAGGGTTCGCCTCTCCCCACCATGGTTGGACTGAAGTGGAAGAAAAAAAAGTGTGGCAACGTGAAAAAAGCAATATCAGGCTTAACAAAAATGTTCTAATTAAGGTACATGTCTTAACTTGACAGTAAGACGTTCGATGTTACATACATCACTATGTTTTTCAGTGAAACAATAGGATGGAGGGGCGCAATACCAGGAAAATCACACCAACCTCAGCCATACCATGGTCTGAGGCAAAACCAAAAGTGAAGGCTGCAGTAATTCTGAATGGATATAGCATTCTCAGACTTAAAATATTTCACATTAAGTCATTTAATTTTGAGTGTAAGTGTATACATTTTAGGGAATGCTCTCTGGTATACTAAATAACTTTATGTGAAATTATAGGGAAATTATAAATGCTGAGTAATCAATCTCAAGTGCCAACTAAGGGATCATTTCGAGTATCCAACGTAAGCGTAAAAGTTTATAAAAAAAAAGTAAAACCAATAAGGATTTGGCATCTCTAGATACCTGTAAAAAATTGCACTTTCAGTCATCAAAAAACATTTTTAAAGGATCTTTAATTTGAAAGTAAGGCGCACATCAATTTTTTTATTTGTAAAAGGGGGCCGACTGGGGTCCGTTAGGGTCCAGAGCTTGAGTGTGTCTGTTGGTGTGTTTGTTAGTGTGGTAATACTGTCAGGTAGGGCAAAACATCATTTCCGATTAATCTCCCGACGCAAAACAACATTGAATACTGTATTTACGTCAAGTTTAATAAAAGTAAAATATTGATATTTATGAATTTTTGTTAATTTTCTTACTGAACTTGTAATATTTTTCATCAATGTGTTGTTGGGCCTTCGTTTTTTTAAGGTAACATGAAGTAAATCAAAGAGTTAATATTGTAATAAGTTTAAACATATAGTAAATGCTTGTGTATGTGTGTAGGGGTGTACTGTGGGTGTGTGTCGAATTAAATGTGTTATATTTTAACAAAGATGGATGTATTAATTGCCTTTAGCTTTAATAACATTTTAACTTAGCACAGCCCATAATATTTTGTATTTAGAATTCTGGCTCCCATGCTCTATAATTAACCGTTCATTGATTATAATCTATTTACATAGAGGAATTAATAGTATGAAACATAAACATTCTCTATACTGTAACTATATTTATTGTCAAAATATT